TCTTACATTTTGTAGGGGCGAATCGCATGCCAAACATACGAAGATTGCTGCTCAAGGTGTTCAGAAGACTCTGCATTTTGTCAGCATCCTCCCCTAACAGGACTATGTCATCTGCATATTCTAAGTCCATAAGATTATTCCCTGGTAACAAGTCGATTCCTAAGTCATTACGTTCAGTTAAGGATACTTCCATCAGCATATCTATGATGAAGTTAAACAGAAATGGGGAAAGTGGACATCCCTGTCGGACACCACTGGTTGTTACCAATTCAGATGACAATTCCCCATAAGCCCTTACACGACTACGTGAGTTTGAATAGAGTGCCTTGATTAGTGCAATGTACTTTCTTGGCACTCCCTTCACAGTCAGACATTGCCATAGTACCTTTCGATCCACGGAGTCGAAGGCCGCCTTCAAGTCAAGAAATATGACAATTGTTGGACGCCGAAAAGTGTGTCTATGTTCTAGAATCTGTCGAAGAGTGAAGATATGATCTATGCACCCTCTACCTGGTCTAAAGCCTGCTTGATTTTCCCTTGTCTGTTCCTCCCGAGTTCTGCTTAGTCTATGCATGATTACTGAGCCTAGGATTTTAGAGACTATGTTCGTTAGGCTGATCCCCCTATGATTATCACACGAGGACTTGTTTCCCTTCTTGAATATCGGTATAATAAGTGACTTACCCCAGTCTGATGGCACTGTCTCTGATTCCCAGACTTTGCCTAGTACCTCAGTTAATCTACAAACTAGTATGTCACCCCCATATTTAAACACCTCCGGAATAATTCCGTCGGGTCCTGCCGCTTTGCCTCGTTTCAAATTACTGATAGCTTTTGTGACCTCACTTACAGACGGCGGACCAGTGTCTATATCCCATTCGGGTGTGTTCTGGATGTCGGGGAGGTTCAGTGTGGCTGTAGGCAAGTTAAATTGTCCCTCAAAGTGTTCTTTCCAGCGTTCAAGGCGTCTATCCTGAGAGCTAATTAAGGAGCCATTTTTCTCAGAAATAGTCTCACTTATGATTTGCCTTCTCCCACCCGTTTCCCTGATGAGTCTAAAGAGTTGCCTAGTGTTGCCTATCGCCGATGCTTTTTCCATCTCTTTCCCTTTTGTCACCCACCACTGTTCACGGTCCTTGCGGAGACTTTTAGTAAGTTTCCTTTTGTGCAGCTTTCGCTCCTCATTGAATTCGGAGCTCGCCGGAATAAGTCTTCTAGCATCTATCAGTTCGGATGAGGCAGTCGAAATCCAGTGGTTTTTACTCACCTTTGGATTTGCCTTATTCACAGCTTTTACAGCTGTATCTATAGCTGACTGAATATTCTTCCAGGCTTCTCCAGGGTGAGCACAGCTGTCGAACTCAGATATGCGTTTAGCTAGTTCTTCCTCAAATAGGGATTTAGTTTCCTGATCGAGCTGGGGACGTGATGGTAGCACTTACTACTTGTAGTTACATACAATCACACAAATAGGATGGGAAAAGGTGACAGTTCAAAATCTTTACACCTTGACACCAGGAAAATGCCATTATCACCCCTAAAATGAACAGAAAGGAATAAATAAAACTATAAAATGAAAGTTTCGAAGTTGTGTATTGACTTACAACTGGTGATACGATTATGAACAATAACAAATTGTGTTAAAAACTTCATCATCCAGTGATGCTATTAAACTGTGTGATATATTCAATATAAAAGCCATTATGGAATTAAATACTACCATATTGCCCAAGTTATACGTATATACTCATTAAGTACCTAAGTTGATATCAGATGGTTGGAGGCAATCGGCCATAGGAAGCCTTTTACCTAGTCTTTGCGCAAGCTAGCACTAACCAGCCGGAAGTGAGTATTTGCAACCTAGAAGAAACTTCTAAGATTTGAAATTGTGTCATCCGATGAGACCTGAAGTCAGAGACGCCATCACTGATCTAGCTATTCAGGCTCTCGATTGACCTCTGTAGGACTATAATAAGTCCTCTGATTGGATACCAATTCGTAACCAATATAAGGTGTCTAGTCCTTGGTATTGGTGCAGACTGAATTCACTACCAGTCAAATTTGCAATACGGCCACCATTCGAAGTGGCACGAACATGAGTTCCTTCAAGGATGCAGGTACATCTTACTGACAAGTGACAATTAGCATGAAACCTCGGTCAAGTAAGGCTTCCTCCTTTGGCTGATTGCCGCCAACTATCCATATAATAGCAACAATTCAAAGTGCGGTGAACCGTGATGGTGAGCCATCTACCATGGTAGCGACACATTGCAAACTCAACCGATGGGAGGTGTTCCGAACTCAGTCTAAACATAAAATCGGACTCCTTCGAACCTACTGCAATACTCTTCAACCAAAAAAGCCAACATACATCCTTGAACCACAGAACACATCCTTCCTGTGCGACGGCCGCCACCACCAGCTCCGATTACGTTGGGAAGTGAAAGTTACCCAAACGAAAACTGACAAGAAGCCTTCGTACTGACCGTGAACATTGGTGGGCGACAAAAGAGAAAGAGATGGAAAAGGCATCAGCGATTGGTAACATCAAACAACTATTTAGATTTATCAGGGAAACAGGTTGCAAAAGACTAATGATAACTGAAACAATCTCTGAGAGGAGTGGTACCATAATTAGCTCCCAAGGATAGACGACTGGAACGCTGGAAACAACACTTTGAGGAGCAATTAAATTGCCTACAGCCACACTCAACTTACTGAACATCCAACACCTCCCTGAATAGGATATAGACACAGGTCCTCCATCCCTAACTGAGGTTACTAAAGCTGTCACCAATCTGAAACTAGGCAAAGCAGCGGGACCTGATGGAATGACTCCAGAGGTATTTAAGTACGGTGGAGACAGTTTACTGTCTGCATTAACTGAGGTTCTAGGCAGCGTCTGGGAATCAGACGAAGTCCCGTCGGGTTGGTGTAAGTCACTGATTACCCCATATACAAGAAGAGAGACAAGTCTCCCAGTGATAACCACAGAGGGATTAGCTTGACTAATGTAGCATCTTAAGTTCTAGGCTCCGTAATCATGCGTAGACCAAGCGGTCCACGATAAGAACAAATAAAAGAGAACCAGGTACACCTTAGACCGGGAAGGGGGTGTATTGATCATATCTTCCCCTTTCATCCAATTCTGGAACATAGGCGAACTTATTGGCTTCCAACAATCATTATATTTCTTGACCTACCTGAAGGCGGCATTTGATTCTGTCGACCGAGAGTTACTCTAATGATGCTTGGCTGTGACAGAAATATCGAGAAAATGCACTGCACTGATCAACGCACTTCACTCAAACTCGTGCAGCCAGGTTAGGGCTTACGGATAGTTGTCATCTGAGGTGGTGATAACTAGTGGTGTCCTTCAGGGATATCCACTATCCCCATTTCCATTCAAATTCATCATGGATGAACTAACTGCTGACTTAAGCGACTCAGGGATTCACTTGTTACCAGGGAATAATAGTCTCATCGACTTAGAACATGCATACGGATGCTGTAGTCCTTGTAGGTGAAGAGGCTGACAAAATGTAGGGTCTTCTGAATGCCTTTAACTGCAATCTACGAATGTTTGGCATGCGATTCGCTCCTGCTGTTAAGTGTAAGATGATCAATCTGCAGGAGTGGACTACGCTGACTCCTAATTCAGAAATAGGGATTGAAGTGGTACAGCACGTTGACCGCTTCACTTATTTGGGAAGTTACATCAGCCCCAAGGGGTTGATCGCTGACGAAATCTCTATACGGATACAGAGGGCTAGTTCCGCATATGCCAGTTTACCCCCATCTCTGGCGTAGTCATGATATCCAACTGGCTATCGACCAAAAGGCGGGTGTACTGCTCAGCAGTCCACTCCGTACTCCTTAAAGGCTGTTGGTGAGACCTGGCCATTGAGAGTGGAAGACATGAAAAGGCCGGCTAGCTATCTTTGATCATAGATGCCTGTGTTCCATCTCCTGTGTTAAATGATAGGTGTATTAAGGAGAGCAATATTGAGGATAGGCTTGGATCGACTGATAGGTAAATGGGGGGAATCAATAGATGAGGCTGTGAAGTTACATCAACTGAGATGGTTAGGACTGTGTTACGCATGCTAGCCTAGCCATTGCCTTCCTCGAGGGGAAATGTTAGCTGGATACAAGGTCAGGATGGAAAAGAGCTAGCTAGTGGCGGTTAAACCAAAACATGCCTCCACCAGTCAATGAAATCGACGACAGTTAGTTGAAGTCAATCACGTAGGAAGGTGTAGACTTCTTGCCTGACTGACTAGTTGGGGGTCCTTCGGGACGTTAAAACCCAATAAAGGCTGAAAACAATCGGTGGTGATATGGCTCAATGACTGGTGCAGATGCATTCACTTCTTCATTCACTTATAATATCGAATAAAACTATATCGTTCATCCACATCACTATTCCTTTTGTCCCACTATCCCTCCCTGCATACTGTCTCTATTTTGCAATTCTTTTTACTTTCTTCTGTTGCTTTGTATGTTACAAGAAGAGAGTGTGGCGACTTGATGAACTTGGTGCACATCAGTGCAAAGTTGTTCTATGTTGAAAACAATAGACAGACTGACTAATAGAATTCAGTATGCACCAAACAAAGGGGACTAGACACACAATACATTAGTTACTAACTAGTGTCCAAATTTAAGCAACTAAACAGTATTTATATTGAAAACATAAATAACAGGAATTAACGTGTTTTTTGGTAGGGTGGGGAGGGGGAATGGGGTTGTATTTTTCTGTCACACATAAAAAACGCCAACAAACAAAACAAAAAGCATGAAAATAATCTAAAAAGGCAGATGTCTATGATGGCACTTTCCCGATTGAAGATACAAACAACAACAAAAGGTTAAAATGGGCTTTGTTAATTCGAAAGGGTGTAGGGAGAAACAGGGAGAGAGAGAGCTGGTGAGCGAGAGCGATAGAAAGACAGACAGATACATAGACAGATAAAACCTTGTCACTCTGCCAATCAATATCACAATTCTTCTTTATTCCTCCTCTTATTATTATATAATAAATGCATTTCATCCTCGGTTGATGCTGGAGATTGTGTCGATGACACAGTATACTCTTTCTCGTAGATAACTGGCCATTCTGTTAAGCCTTCACAATTAGAAAACGAAGACGAAGAGGAGGAAGCGGATGAGGAGGGGGAGAGGGAGGAAGAAGTAGCTGACAACTCTTCATGCATTACTTGATTCGATCTATACAATTGTAAAATACCATTTGAGCATAAACAATTCAATGTGGTGTTCGCTGAAAATCCCATTATTGTTCTTTCTTCAACAATACGAAATGTAAACGTTGATAAACTTGTACCAATGAAATATCTAAATAAAAATGGAATATTCAGGAGAGAGAGAGGGAGAGAGGAAAAATGGTCATAATTATATATATATGTGTAAAACCTGGGCACTGTAGTATTAAGTAATTCCATATTAGTTTGTTTATTAGATATATCACACAGTGAAACAGTATTATTTACTGGACATTGACATTTCAAACAAAGTTTATTGTGGTTCATAATCATATCATCAATTATAATCACATGACTTCGAAACTTGAGTTTTATACTTTTCTTTGTCCTCTCCTATTTGTCGTAGGGGTAGCAGAATTCTCCAGATATCTGACTGGACAGGTGATGAATCATTCCTATTACATGTATTTTCATTCAGTTGATTCGATAAACAAAGCTTCTGTTGTTATCAATCTCTCCCTCCATCCACTCTGTGACATTAGATTTTAAAACTGTCATCTTATCCCATCCATCCTATTGTATGGTTGTGTGTAATTGCATATAGTGAGTGCTATGTACGGCTGAATTATTCTCAAGATTTCTTATCTTATTTCGGTCAACTAATCTAGATTCAGCTAGGTTTTTATGTTCGGCTAGTCTGACTGACTGCCCCTGTTCTACTAGTTTGATCTATGTATTTGACCTGACAATCATCCCAAATAGGGTATTAGATAAATGAATTGTTTTATTTGTTTAAAGGCTCCACAGGACTGATTCTTTAACCGACAAAGCTTGTTTCTAATTAAGTTTGTGGGTAGTTTGAATGCCATCCACTTTTATTCCTGCCTTGTTAAGAATTCTGTGTAAGGCTTCCGAGGTCCCTTCCTTGTATGGAATTACTGTTGATGATTTAGATTCCTTATTGTTGGTGTCGTCATTAATATTATTATTATTATCGCTACTATTGTTATCATTATTAGTGTTGTTATTATTACTATCACTACTATGATTATTTATTTTATTTTTAGATTTCCTTACATATTTCCTGACTAATTTATCGGGATAATTATTAAGTTTCAAGGCTTTCAATTTTTAAGTGACAGAGCACAAAAACTAAGTAATACTAAGGAAAATCTAAGACAAGAAATGATACACATAAAAGAAGCCTTGAAACTTAACAAGGTGGGCAAGAATAAAAGTGGCCGGCATTCAAACCACCCACAAACTCAATTAGAAACAAGCTTTGTCGGTTAAAGAATCAGTCCTGTGGAGCCTTTAAACAAATAAAACAATTCAGTTTATCTAATACCCTATTTGGGATGATTTTCAGGTAAAATACATAGGTCAAACTAGGAGAACAGGACCGGTCAGATTAGCCTAAGATAAAAACCTAGCAGCAAAATCTAGATTAGTTGATCCGAATAAGATCAGAAATCTGGAGAATAGTTCAGCTATAGTACTACATGCAGTTTCACACAACCATACAATAGGATGGATGGGATAGGATGACAGTTTTAAAATCTAATGTCACAGAGTGGATGGAGGGAGAGATTGATAACAACAGAAGCTTTGTTTATCGAATCAACTGAATGAAAATACATGTAATAGGAATGATGCATTACCTGTCCCTGATATCTGGAAAACTATACTACCCCTACGACAAATAGGAGAGGACAAAGAAAACTATAAAACTCAAGTTTCAAAGTCGTGTGATTACAATTGATGATATGATTATGAACCACAATAAATTTTGTTCGAAACGTCAATGTCCAGTAAATAATAATACTGTTTCACTGTGTGATATATCTAATAAACAATCTAATATGGAAGAAAAAGGTGTATAAATTTAAAAAATTCATTAACTGACAGACTGAATGAAAGTCAACATAGAAATTTGCACAGAAGTGCACCATCAGCACCATCAATCAGTGCATCAATTTGCCGTCACACTACATACATGTGTAGCACGCAGGCATGCACACAGACACACACACAAATGTAGATAAAAGGTTTATCAAAATGTACTTGGTAGATTACAGTGTTAGTGAATACATCTGTATCAGGCATTGACAACAATTTCGAGCCATGTTACTAATTGAAAATATAAACAAAACACTTGGACAGGGCAATATACACACATTTTCACAGCTTCGTTCCCATCATGTATAAAAGAAATTTAGTCAGGAAAGACCCTCAGCCACAGGGTTAGAGCTGTACGCTCAGAAGAAGTAATTCAAGATGAATTAAGTCAGCATTGTATATGATACTTTGATCGAAAATGACTATCCCGAAAAACTTATCAAGAAACACGTGACAAAGAAAACGGCGGAAAAGGACTACTCACTGTCTGTAAACAAGAAGCCTCTTTATATACGACTACAATTCATGGGTGATATACCAAGCGAGATAGTTGTGAAGAAATTAAGGAAATCAGTTCAAAGAACTTTCACTGCTGGCGAACTACACGTATTATTTTCTACACGACCGATGGTGATTCCTCGACTGAAAGATGAAGTACCTAGACTAGCCACTTCTAATTGTATCTATCAATTCAATTATATTGGCCGTTGCTCTAGGAACTTGATTTTGCGTGCTCACTCGAGAACATCTCCCACTATGGCTAAGTAGTGTAGGTGTAGTGGAAACTATTAACAACTTGATATTGGAACATCTAGTGCAAACAGCCCACAAAGCCAGCCAGTGTAGATGAATCCTTCTCTATATTATACCGGGTGCCAAATAAATTGCCAAAATCATCGAAGCACCTCAGGCTCCAAACAGCAAGGCTATTGCGATTCGCCTCAAACAACCAGCACTCTGTGTCCAAAAGAAGCAAGTCCAAACCCTACTACACCTCTGGCCTTCAGTAGAAGCTATAAACTCATGAGTCTGTAATATTATCTTTCCTAATTCTTCTGACATTCAGCTTATTTTATGTTGATGCTGTTGTGCTGTAATCTATCAACATTAATGATTTGATGTTATTTAAACAACATGAATGTTGTTCATAACACTAATTCATTCATTCATTCACTATAATGTATGTATAAATGTAGAGCCTGATGATGAAGGGGTTATCGAAAAGAGTACTCTTTGTTCAGTATCCATTATTTTGAAAATTTTAATGGGCATTTTTAATCAGTTATCAGTCTTTCTTTGCCCTGCCTGGTAACTGGATATTTTCACGTCTCTTTTTCTTCCGAATGCGAAATGCTAAAAGTTTCCATTGTGTTTGATTATTATTGTTCGGAATAGTGTTTAAATATTGCATATTTATATATTTTTAGTGTATGAGTATATTGATAGATTGATTTTTGTTTAAAATGAACTCTGTGTAAGTATGTAAGATTGTTGTTGTAGATATATTTAATAATGTCTTTGCCATGTAAGCAGCTGACGAGAAGGCAACGAAATAAACACTGATGGTACCATTTTATTCTGCTAAAACTGTAGTTCTTACTTTTTTCAATGAGTTAATTTTAGCGAGTCAGTTGGTTATTTAGTCGCCTTTCTTCCACACACTTTCATTCACTGTCTTTGTCTCCATGCTGAAACACCTACACACACACACACACACAACACATAAACAAACAAACATACAATATGTGCAACAAGTAACAGTTGAAAGATTGTTCTACATTTAAGACACGACTAAATTGGCTCCCCATGAAGAAGATAGATAGAGAGAGAGAGCGACAGTACAAGAGAGGTAAGCAAAATTAATCAGTAATACACACATATTAACAAACCATATTGAACAAGTTCGTTTTTCGATAATATACAAAGTTTCCCCCTCTTTTATCAAAAGTGTAAAAAACCAAAAGAAATTGATTTCAAGACAGATATCCAATCATAAATTTCATTGAAAGACTGAGATTAATGAACAAAGCAAATATATTTTGATGTGGTTGTGTTCTCTGAGCTGAATGGTTAATTTGTGAAGCTTTCATCACCCTACTGGGTGACATCTTCAGCGCATACTTCAATTTGAAGTGAAGTGAGCTTTTAGATTTCTCCACGAGTTTATTAATCATCTCTCCTGACGGGTGACGTTGGACGTGATTGGTTGGTTGTTTTTGTGTGCTTTCACGCCTTCTAGATTACTTGTGGTATTGGAACTGATTGTTTCCTTCACTTGAACTTTGACCCTTTGTGTGTGTGTGTGTGTGAGGTTTCTTCTTTCTTATCGGTTGATAAATCTTTGTCTATCTCGATGTGTCTATTGATTGATGATTCACTGGAATACCAGGCGGGCTTCTAAAAATTCTCTAGCATTCTTGTTGTTTCCTCTGTCTAATATTTGAACTTTGGTTGTCTCGGTCGAATTGATGTCCGTGGTTGTCTGTATGTAGTGATATGAGGGAGTAGATATCATGTATTTTGACGACTAACTTATGATCGTGGATACGAAGACGAAGGGGATGTCTACTTTGGCCAATGTAGTATTTTTCGCAGTTGTTACAATTTATTTTGTAGATGATGTTGATTTTATCTTCTTTAGCTGTTGAGTCTTTTGATTGACATAGAATTGAGTGAAGCAACTTTGTTGGTTTGTGTACGACGTCAATTCTTAAGGGTTTGAAGAGTCTTGCAGTGATCTCTGAGATGTCCTTTATATATGGTAAGGCGATTTTCTTTGTGCTTTCCTTGGTGGCTTTTGCCTTGGTGGGTTGGTAGGTTGATGAAATTCCGTGGATATCCATTCTTTTGGAAGACGTCCATGAGATACTTTTCTTCAATTTTCCTTAAGGTGGGAGTGCTGCAATGAGTCCTTGCTCTCTTGAATATTGTTTGTATGCAATTCCTTTTGTGTGTTATTGGGTTGTCGCTGTTGTAATTCAGGATTTAGTCTGTGTGAGTTGATTTCCTGTAAACTTGAGTTTCTAACTCCCCTGTGGTTGTTCGCCTGACTAAGACGTCCAAAAATGGTATTTTGTTCTCGGATTCCTCTTCTCTTGTAAATTTGATGTCGTTGAAGACGTTGTTTATTAAGTTGTGAGTTTCGTCTAATTCGTTTCTTTTGATTATTACAAATGTGTCGTCGACGTAGCGTATCCAAATCTTGGGTTTGATCTTTGGTAGAATTATGTTTTC